GGTGATGGAGCCCCAGAGGAGGCAGGAAGGTGAACACGCAGGTGGAACGGCTGCGGAACCCGCAACGCACCTGCAGTTCTGGGGCTGAGCAATCTAAACAAGGTCTTAATTAGAGTGCAGGCTGGAACCATTTGGCAACAAGATCAAAAAAAAAATCAATACAGTACAAAAACCATTTTAATTGGAGGCCAAGGTTTCCAGCTTTGCAGGTTCTCCCTCCAACAGCCTTAACCAAGAATGAAGCCAACAGCTTTCCTGCATTCCCCCTGCTCTCTCCCGCGATGGGATGCGCATGGGCAGCCTCTGCACTGAACTTTCTCAGGCACCCCCAAGCTCTCGGATCTGCTTTGGTTACCTGTCCCCTGCTCGGTGAGCCAGAGCGCCCAGCAAAGGGCTCCCGTAGCCCAAGTCAGCACTTTCACAAACCCACTAGCCCATCTCGTTAACACCATAACGAAGTGTCTCTTGCTGTGTTAAATTATTTGTTCCTGGCTGGGCAAGAAGTCTTGTCATACTTAATATCAGATTCTTCTGACCCAAGATGTACTGTAGTCAATGAGGGTCTACCCGTTTCGCTGCCCTTTCTTGAATTTCTTTCAACTCTGTATTCAGAAACTGCTGGAAAAAGGTCACAGTTGGCTGGAAACCTTGTATTTTCCCCAAGAAGTACATGCAGGTTAAAGCTTCTAAATCACTGAGAGAATCTTTTGCTTCCTTACGATTTGAGGACCCTCTGAGAGCGTTTTCCCTTTGCCGGGCATTTCACCTAATGAATCACCCCAAGTGAAATGAAKACAGCTGACACGCTTGGCTTTGGAGGCCGATCTTGGGGTTCCTCCTCCAGGCTCTGCCCCCCRGCGCTTGGTGTCAGAGGTAGCAGGGACAGCCCTCCCTGCGCRAGCCCGCGCGCCTTGCGCTGCTCTTCCGAGGAGGGGATTTGCTTTGGCTACAGCTTCTCATGGGCAGCTCTGAGCAGGGACACAGACACTCAGTGACACCATTTGACAACACAACGACTTTTAAAGAGTCCCTAAGAGTTGTCTAATTCCCAGGGAATTAGGAAAAAAAATGCACTTTAATATTTCCTGTTACTGATATGGAGACAAATACATTTTCAGTAAAAATGATTAGTTTACCCTGACCTTGTGTCCAAACAGTACAGTTTAATTTTCAAAATGCTTAAAAGCCACTGAATTATTTTGCATAAGGACAACTTGATTTGTTACCATGTTACACAAAAATCCCTGCCAACAGTGTGTTGAAAATCCATTCCCATCTGCCCGGCTCTCGTTGCTGTAGTAATAAAGCCACCCAGGCATTAAAGGCTTTTCTGTAGTGGATGTGCCTGTTCCAGGGTTCATACTTGGGGTCTCTCTTTTCCTTTGTTTTTCCTGAATGTTCCAATTTATTCTGCGAGTTATTAAAATCATATAAATGCAATATACAAGTAACAATTATTCCAAAGGTTTTAACTTAATCTTTTCAAAAATATGTAATTCTTCATTGCGTATTTTAAAAAAATCTATTATGCAAAAATACCTGTAAATGAGACTTCTTGAAAATCATTACTTGATTTTTTTTTAGAATGCCTGAATTCAGGGTGCTTAGAAAGCCCTGGGCTTGCATTAGCAATATCCTGATGGGTGGGCTGTGCATGCTAGAAAGCTACATGTTACATTGCTTCCCATTTTAGATTTAAATTGTAAGCTTCCAATCAAACCATTAACACTCAAGTTTTCAAGGCAATATGGCAATAAGTGTACAAGACAAAGGGATAAATAACTGAAGACTGCCCTTGAAGAAGATGCAGCGGTTCCAGGGCCAGGCGCAGAGCACGGCGTGCTCTTTACCTGGAGCTCTGCAAGGCTTTGCCACAGTCCTGCCTAAGCTGGGGAGACGGGCTTTGAACGGCCGATGCCCAGGACTCTGCATGCTGAGGAGCAGCACGAAGCGCGGCCAGGGACGGTGACAGGCGGTGTTCGGGGTGACAGGCGGTGTTCGGCAGTGCTGTCAGGGACGGTGACAGGCGGTGTTCGGGGTGACAGGCAGCGTTCAGCAGTGCTGCCATCCGAAGTCTTCCTCATTGACATGCGCGGGGCGCATCTCACCCGCTCAGCTGGTCTGCAGATGATAGCAGTGGAGGGAAAGCAGCTGACACGCTTGAGGGCAGGSCTGCTCTCCAGAGGGACCAAAGAGGCTGGCAGAAACCTCAGGACGCAACATGAGACAGCAGCGTGCCCTTGGGGCAAAGGCTGCTCACAGCCGGCCGCAGCAGCAGCACCGACACAGGGGACTATTCTCCTCTGCCAACATCGGCAAGACCACATCTCAAGTGCTTCATCCACTTTCAGGCCCCSCAGCACAAGAGCTATTTGGTCAGACTGCAGCAAGTCCCTAGGAGGCCGCAAGCCTGTCCTGGGGCTGCAGCACAAGGACGCTGCACAAGAAGGCAGTGGGAACAACGTGTTCATTCTTCAGAAGAGAAGGATCTTACTGGCATCTCCAGCTACTTAGCGTGAGGGGACAGGGAAGCTAGAATTCTTGCAGGTGAACAGTGGAAGGCCAGAGCTAATGGGCACAACGAGAATCAAGGGAATTCCAACAACATATTAGACGGATTTTTTTTCCACTAAGAGCATAGCCAAACGCTGGACCTTGGGCCCACAGAAGCTATCCTAGCTATCCGAGCCTCGTTGCCATCCTAGGAGATGCCAAAAATCTGCTTGGCAAGACTCCAAGCAGCCTGATCTGTGCTGGCCATGCACTGAGAAAAGGACTTGACCCGAGACCTCCACAAGTCCAAATTAAATTSATCACTCACAACCTTCAACCGTAGCAGAGTTGAGTGCTGGAGAGAGGTAGGGGCACTCACCAAGAGAAGTAATTTAGAACAGAGATGGTTTAAATAATATAAATTTATGGGAGAGCTTTGACGGTCTTGAACCTTGCCAGCTTGGTCTAGCTGTGGAAAAGACCAGCAAGAAGGGCCGTTGGCAAACTGGGTGTTCCCGTTCCAGCTTCTGCCGCGTYGGCCTTGCCAGGCACGGTCAGAGCTCTGCCAAGTGCTTTGTTTTTCCCTAGAAGAATTCAACAGGGTGGAGTGACGTGTCAYGCTGCCACCTCTCCTATTCCGTAGAGTCACTGGCTGTTTGCAGCATGGGAACAGCCTCCAATTACACATTCCTCCTGATGAGAAAGTTTTGCATCTCCACCTATGACTGGTTAAGGCAGCTGAGGGAAAGCTGGCTGAAAGTCAATCCAGATAATGACCGAAATGCTGAGCAGAGGAGCAGCTGGAGAGACACACAGGGCCAGCTGCACTCTGACTGTGAGAACATCAACTAGAGTGCATCACAAGTAGGTGGCATTTAGATGTTCAATTATGAACAGCTGAAGTCAACTGTTCACCATGTGCTGTCAGTCAACAGACCTATCCCTTCCTCTCTGATGCATTTCTTCCAACATTTTCCCAGGAACGTGACAGGATCCAGGATCACTGCAGTGTGGTGGACACGAGGCCGCCTGGAGGCGGAGGAAGGAGCTGGAGGAAGGAGCTTGTGCTACCAAGTGCATCCTCACTCCATCCCCCCGCCACCACCTCCTGCCCCAGCCGGTACAGAACTCGCCTCATCTCTTCTGGCAGGGTTGGGGAAAGAAGAATGAAGCAAAGATGACTTGGTGATTAACAAATTTGTTATCTAAATTTCTCAAGGTGTCCAGGTTTAAATTAATAAAGGTAAACCAAATTATTGGTTTAWCATCTACGACCACTTCGAAGGTGTACTAGAACTGGGACAGACCACTTGCACTAACACACGTTCACAGCAGAAACCTAAGTCTCCAATACTGTGAGTGTCTAATTTGGTGGGAGGGAGGGAAACTCTCAACTAGAAGATGAATTCCAAAATTTCAACCATTTTCTTGCCTCCTGTCTTCTTCCAGCTCTGCATACCCAAGCTCYCCTCCACGGGCTCCCTCCCTGGCAAGCGATCCCCGATGCCTGCCCGGGACGCAGACGCTGGCGGGCGGCGAAGGCGCCACCGCTCCGCGCTGATGCCACGAGCCCAGCACGGCACCCACAGGCCGCCCGCTCTCCCATCAGCACAGCTCCCGGCAAGGGGCACAACTGCCACCTCTCTGTTCTCCTCCTTGGCTACTGCATTTACCCAGGATATTGGCAGCCTAGCAACAGATTCTCATGACCCAAAAAGCCTCAACCCACCAAAAAGCCTCAACCCACCAAAATGCGGTATGTGCAGAACATGCAGAGCCAGAAAGAACAGTGTGGTGAACATTTATAGTCCTGAGGTGCTGCCGACAGACCTACGTCTATGTGCATTTTTCCCACAGACATCTTTAACTATGAATGTATAGATGCTACCTATAAATGTTGGTAAACAAAATCCTCATCTCCCAAATGGTTTTTGTCCATGCTTCTTTCACTACACTCTTCTTATCCCTTAATTCTTAGGGGCAATTGGGTTTTTAATTAGAGCTCATGCAAAACAACTTAAAAATCCTCAAAATACAAGTACATTAAACAAGCAACCCACATTCATCATTTTTATTGGATGTATTTAACTCCCACACATGGTACAAAATTACTTTTGATTCCTATTATACTCTGGAATAATGCTACTATCACTCTTCRTGATTTTATTCTTTAGTGTGATTTGTTCTTATGTCTTTTCCAAAAGATTGATCTTTAGATCCATTAAAAGAAGAATGCTCATGCGTGTTCCTTTTTTCTTTTTATGAAAATGTTTTTAAACAATTTCTGTAGGAAAGATTCATAATAACAGAACGCAAATGACAGACATTCTGTAAATAAAATTAAATGCACGCTGCCCCTTTCATACTGCTTGATTTACTCTGATGAAAACACAACTAACRTTTGTTCCAGCTGGTCAGACGGGAGAGCTCTCATTATTTTTTAGATATTCTAAGTGTGCATTAAATATGTATGCGTGCTTCCACACAGTCAGGCTTAAGCACCTTACCTGTTCGTGTCTCATCAGCTCTATCATTTCCATGATGCTAATAAAACTGTGGCAACGATCCGAATGGTCAACCATAGAGGTAGGGAAAGGGCGATTCTGCCAAACTCTCCACTCGGACAAGGACAGTTCACGAGTTCCCTCCTCTTCAGGCTTCTGCAGGTTGGAATTCAAATTAGCAAGGAGATTTTGATCAAGAAATCATTCACCAAAAACAACTTCAGCAACAATAAACAACAAATAATCCAAATGCAGGAAAGTTTCTAAACATCAGGACAGTTTCAGCCTGCTCTAAAATGAAAACAAATGTTTTGTGTGATCATGGTTCTTAATCAGCTTAAAAGCTGGGTTGTTTCAAACGGTGAAAGGACACATATAAACTCCCATTTTTACCTGGATCAAGACAGAGCTTGCAGAATTTAAGCTTTTCTTTTAGCAATATTATCATGGTTACTTAAACAAAGGAATGAAAAAGTATGGATAAAATACCATCACAAATAAACAGCATTCTGTATCAAATTTTAGGATGCAAATTAAAAACTTATTGAGTACTGGGAGATTACTCTTCTGAAAAGAAAAACAGACAGAAAAGCGACCAAAAACAGGATCCAAAAAAGGACTCAAAAGGGTCAGTATTTTGTTTTCAGACATTTAATTCCTGATTTTTAACTTCAAAAAACAATACATAATTCTCAAAATTGTGTTTTTAAGACATCCTTCAAATTCATAGCTAATTTTGTTAGCTAGTATTTCCTCTAGGTCTCCTGTCAAAGGCAGCATTATATTTAGATTTAACTCACTGGTGTTTCCTCCAGGTTTTCTAAGGTTTCAAACCGAATTGGGGGCAATTTCAATTCCTTAACTCCATCACTTTCTTTAAGCCTGTAAAGTCTGTCCCATATTTCAAATTCCTCGGATGACAGAGACCAGTTCTCATGACTGTGTGTTTCCTTAGTGCCTAGTAGGGAAAAAGAAAGAAAACATTTGGGGAAAATAAGTTTCACTTTAAGAAAAGAACATACAATGAGAACTTTGTGTGGTATGAGTCAAAAAAAACCCTACATACTTTATGCCATAACCAAAAAAGAACCAAAAACAGATATATACAATCTGCTGTGAGAAACAAAATATCAAAATACAGTTCTATGTATTATAAATTGGGTTAAATTTATCTATAAATTCATTATTTTGGGGGAGGACCTTACATAAACAAATACATAGCTATATATGCACGTGTCAAACCAATGCACCCTATGAACAGCACAGCAATCAATACACAAGGAAAACATACGGTTTAAGTTTGTAAATGTGTTTCTCAAAGGCCTTAGGGAACACTGCAAATGTTTTTAAAAATGTTTTCTTAACAAGAAAAGCAACTCTTTAAACACAGAAAATGCCACCAATTCGCTACACCATTGATGTTTTCTTAGCCAGCCCCTGGCTCARTCTCAGGGCACTCTGCGAGCACGAGCGCTCGGAGGCAGCTCACGGAGACACSGCCCCAAGCCCCAATGCTGCTCGGCTCGAGCACCAGCAGCCCCAGGGACCAGGAGGAGCTGGAGTCACCTGCAGTCTGGCAGCCAGCTCCAACACAACTGCTACTGCCTCCAGTGTGCGAGAATTAACGGCAGATCCCTACAAAGGGACACGGACGCCAAGAGTATGGAATACCCAAAGCACTGGCCTTAAAGGGCAGCTGGAACGTGCCTGCTCTGAGCCTAGATAATATGAAGCTTGGGGAAAAACAATTAGGTTAATTTGGCATTCACCTCAGAAAGGATTTGGATGAACCTGTAGCCAACATCCTACTCTGAATTAATGCCACTTAGGAGGAATCAGTCTGGATCTCTCAATCCGCTCAAACGATACCTGCTGGAGCCGATGGCATGACAATGTTTGTGAGGACTCACAACCAGACCTCTCAAGAAAAAACAGAAATAAGAGTGTACAAGATAAATATTACTATCAAATATTTTTGACTGAACTCTAGGAGATGTTACATGCTTCATAACTACCACAAGGATGCAGCAGAGGAGGAAAGAGGCCTGACAGACCATAAGACAAAGACCAGCCTGTCTCTGGGTTCCTCCTTTCCTCCTTCCGTTTGCAAAGACAGGAAGGAGCAGAGCATCTCTACCTGTGCCCTTACTCCAGGGCAGCACACTGCAGTGGTGAATCACACTGGAGCCCCGGGCTGAGCACTACCCGGACGAGGCAGAAAGGGCAAGAAGGACTGCTCAGATGTAGCCGAAAACCAAGGCAGCCAAAGCGAGTAGGATAACTAAAAACGTCCACTGCCCCCTTATCATTTGCAAGGAGCTGCAAGAAGATGGCATGGCAAGGAATCACATGGCATCTTCGAGCAGCAAGGTGCTACAGAGGAAAAAACAGACATTGGCAAACAGTTTCACAGGCAATCTGATTGATCTGTTGATATAGATCGGGGTATCTCCCGTTCCTGAAGGTGTTTGGCAAGACCCTGCTCCCGCACTCAGGGAGAGTTCTGTGCCAAGGATGCCGCCCACCACATCCAGGAGGCCGCAAGGATGCAGCTGATGTCCACTCCACATTCTCAGCAGGAGAGCTGAGAATACTGAGGAGGTGGGAGCTGGAGTCTGCTCCTGTGCTCGGCTCAGCCACCAACCCCCCTCACCCTTACTGAGGGGAGCTCCAGCAGATACCACACCGTGACAAACTACCTTAAAGCAAATTACTGTGCAAGTTGTCGTTCCTCCTTTTTAACACTTAAATCTCCCCCACTGCTGCTCTGCGCAGCTCGGATGAGCCAATGTCATGTACTCCAGCAGGGCCACAGTGTCATGCACGGAGACCCAACTGCAACGCAGACGGTCGGGGACCCGGGCCTGCCTAACAACAAAGAGGGAAAATGCAATTTCAAATTTAATGGTTGGTAAAACCAAAGAAACTCTTGTATTTTCTATGTCCGGTAATTATAAGTTGGAGGATTCATTCTTAACAGAAGGGAAAGGTGTGTAACTAGGAGAGTTCTGCAGAGCTCTCCTAAATAACAGCTTGATAAAAACCTGAGCAAGTTGCCCATTGAAACAGGCAGGTATTTTTGTACTGAATCAGGGATCCTGAYGTTCAAATAGAATAGTATAAATTCTGCAAATTATGATGCGTGCTGTTTTTGCACAAAGCCACTATTCAGAGCATGAAAACTCACTGTGTGGATGAAGAGCACTCAAAACTAAAAGCAAACTTCAGAAAGAGACGCAAAGATGTTTCAAAAACAGATGGATTAAACTATCAGAGATGAGTAAGGAGACCACGTTCACCAGCACTGCTCAGCTTATAGGCAAACTCAGTGTAACCAACACCGTAGCAAAGGTAGGAAGTTTCCATGGGGGTGATCAGCCTCAACACTTAGGGAATGGAAATTACTGAGAGATGTGGCTCTTGCATTAATACTCTAAAGATAAGCCGCAGTTATTTACAGTACACTTTGTGGAGAGCTAAGCTGCATGCTAATGATTAATTGCAAAGTGCCAGAAATTCTTATTTAGCTCTCAAAGGAAAATCTCGCCCGACTTTGGCGCTTTGGGCTGTGCAGGGCTCTGCCRGCTGCGGGGCAGGCGCAGGGCGGGCGGCCCCACGCGGGGAGCCCCACRAGGAGCGCAGGGCTCGGCCGCAGCCCCGGCCCTGCCGAGAGCCCATKCGGAGCAGGGGGAGCTGAGATGAGCTCAAACAAGAGCCTGCATAAGCAAAAGGAAAACGCACCATCGGGAAAGCTTAATTCAGCTTTYGTCCTGAAACCAGTGGGAAGGAGCAACCCACAGGAGGCAAAGGAAAAACATTTTTTTAATATAATTAGATTAAGCAAAGCAGCAGATGATTGATTTTTCAAAGGCAGAGGCCGAACACTGCCTCAATCAGATGAAGCAAGTTCAATCCTGAGGGAAACGGGCACGATGAAGTCGATAGGGGCTCATGCCTGGGGCCGCACTGAGCACCGCAAACCCTGGATCCGGACAAGGAATCAGCTTAAACTACTGAAGCACAGGTTGAGAACAGGGAGTTCTCAATTAACAGCTATTGTTAGAGAAAATAAACATCCAAGAAGAGACTCCAGCAGCTTTCCCATGGAGTTTTCCACAGCCACGTGGGAATGCTTCACTGCATCAGGACACGAAGTCTGAAAAGGTATCGGCCACGTGGAGGCCTCACCACTGCTGTGCTGGAAAGCTACTGGAAAGGCATCAAAAGCCACAGATACTAAACTTCTCTTGCTTCTTCTCTGCTCCTTTTACTGCACTTCCTAATGTGCTCCTCAGTTTTAGCCAACGAGAGGGAGAAAAGAAAGACTATCTACAACATCTTCACAACTGATTTTCCAATGTGACAGGGAGCACTACAATAGGAAAAAGAGAAAGAAAAAAAAAGCCTTTCTCTTCAAGATTTATTGCAAGTGTCACCAGCATCAGAAGCAGATTGTCACTTGCTTCAGGCAGCAATGAACAGAACTTTGATAAATCCATACAAAGTTTTTTTTTTTCCAGATGAAGAAAGTTTCAAGAACTTGCACTCAAGTGGCACCTGCGAGACAGAAGTCAGCCACGTCCATCTGCAGCAGCCGGCAGCTCCTCCACAAACCCTGCGTGCTCCCGCCGAGGCGGCTGCCAACCTGCTTCGCACAAAAGCAGCCGGTGATCACAGCCTTGGAAGCGCTATTCCCTCAGCGGGAAACGTGCTTGGCGGGTTGTCTGCCTTCTGCACTGACCGCCTCTCACTTCCATCTCCTACAACAGACTTTTCCAAACATTCTGAAATGATGTTCCTAACTCCATGTTTTGCTCCCCTTATTTCCTGGCGCCCCGCRTGCCTGTTTACACCAGCCCGGTTTTCCTGGTGCTCCGGGCTGCGCACAGCACGAGCCGGACACAGGGACGGCGGCGCTGGGGGCGTCACGGCGACGATGCCACGCAGGGCTGCGGCACCCTGGCATGGAGGGAGCTCCGGGCAGTACCAGCCTCTCTCCTTTGCCGTTTATCCTGCAAAATGGGAGATCACAGGAACAAGGGAAAGCTCCTTTTTTTTTTTTTTTTTTTTTTGCATGATTTCATAGCCTGCTTCCCCCTCCTCTGGTTCAGCCTTCTGCTTTCATTGGATAATTTTCAGAAAAAGATCAGATGTATATTTTGATGATGAGAAATTTAAGCTCAGAAGCCTTTAAGAACATTAACCCTCAAGGTCTAACTACACAAATACTGAAACACAAAGCTACTGAAGGAGTTTCTTCCTTCTAAACAGTTCCTACTGGTCTTTAATACTAACACAAACTTAGCATTAAATTTCCAAGTATTTACAGAACAGTGGCTTTTTCCTCCTATATTTATGATAGTTTTTATGATATTTAGTTAGCTGCATATTCTGGTGCCACATGAGGGAATCATYTGAGAAGCAATTATTCTTTTTAGATTCACTTTTCTTTAGTGCTGGGCAATGCATAAACTACTCGTTTCCTTCTTTTTTTTTCCCCAAAGAAATTTTTACTTTTAATGCATTTCTGTGCTATTGTCATTTGTAAAAAAAAGCCATTCCTTGCATAAATAAAATCATTAAGCCCAAATGCTACAGATAAACAACAGATTTATCACAGAATAATCACTAAACATTTAGTGACAAATATGTGATCCGACACGGGTTGTCAGAAGCCTTCAAGGGCATCGCTAACACTTGCCTCTTCCAACTGAGCAGCAACTGCAGTTTCTGGCCCTCACTCACTGGGGAAAAGGAAGCAAATGTCTGATTTGAAGCACAGACAGTTAAGGGCAGAACTGTCATCTGAGGAACRGGAGGTGGAATCCAGGCAGTCGCCAGCACAGTCTCCCCCCTGAAAGGTCACAGTGACACAAAGGACACTTTCACTACGGGCCCAGGAGCCGTGTGAGCACRCACTTTGGATATGCTGTAATATAACATGAGATAGCAGCTTACACAGTGCTTACAGAAACACCATAATCCTCTTACCAGTGACACAGGAAAAGAGAGCAGATTTATTCTGGAGAGAGCTGGATCTCCTCTCTTTGGAGAGCACTCTTGAATCGTCTGGCTCATGCTTTTCTGTGGTGATGAACATTTTATGCAGCTTTGGATTTATGCCTTCTGGAATCATACGTGGGCTATGCTGGTAAAAGTGAAGAGTTTTGTTTTCCACGATAGCTTTGTGAATGCTCCTCTTGTTCGACTGGCTTTGATTATAAGTCTGCAAAAGACAGCACAAGTCAGGTGCTGGGGAACAGTTTTCCTGGCAGAACTTTACCAAGAGCCAAAGCGCGCCCGAGCCCGGACGAGGCTTCTCGCTATTGCACCACGTTCCACTATGAAGCTGCAACAGCCTTTACAAGCATACGCAGAACAAAACCCGGTACAAAGCCCAGAGCCTCCTTCGGGACAAGGTCACTCAGGCCACCACAAGTCTGTGTTCTAGTACCAGCCTCGCAGTACGACCCCACGTTATGGTAACAGAAACAGGAAAGAAAGCAGCACAAGCAGGTGGAGGAAAAAATACAGCAATATGGTTGCACTGAAAACACCGTGATTGTTACCTCAAATAAGGAGGACTAGGAATTGTTTTTTTAAGATGTTTCCATTATCTAGATCAAATCAAATGTGAATAACCATCTTTCATGTCTAGGTAAAACATTCAAAGCAGCTGTGGTAAAAGAAGTAACAAAGAAAATGATTGTTCTTTACATTGCAAGTGTTTCTTAGAATATGAAAGCTTTAAAATATACCAGGCAAAACAAACCCCTTGATATAGAGCTATTTACAGGCTGCATACAGATCAAAAGTAGGCGCAGCAGCCAAGAAGAAAAGAACACAGAGCCCTTGCCAGGAGGGATCCACGATCTGCCATGGATACAGGGCTGAGGCAAATGAGATTACAGCAGCCCAGAAAGGAGGTCAGGCCGAGGGAGGCACGGGCTGCTTGCACTTGTCACCCGTGCTGCCAGCCCCTTAACCACATCCCTTTGCCCTGGGAGACAGAGCGAAGGAGCCTCGCGTGGCCCCCGCTCCTGCTGGAAGGTGCCACGAGGGCAGCTCTGCTCGGAGGCGGCTTTAGGAAACTGCAGCAAAGCAGGTACACAAAGATGCTCTCKGAGCACAAGTGAGGGATGCTAATGGCTGGTTGTGCCAAACCACCCCACCGGCAGGCTGGTGTCTTACTTTGAGCCTAAAACAGGCAAAAAGTGCTTTTGTACAACAAGCTCTACGCTACTCCCTGCTTCACAGCTCCAGGAAAAGCTTAGCTTTTCCCTTTGCTGCACAGATGGTGTCAGCCGGGCTGAGGAGCTGGAGAGGCCCTGGCGCCYGCACGGCCTCCAGGCCCCCACATCTGCATCTGTTCAAACCTCCGCCCCCAGGCTCGGGCACGTCACAGGAGCTAGTGCGAGAGCATCTGATGGAGGCCTGCGTGGAGAATCTCCACGTTATCACGAGAGCTGGAAGGAAACTATACCAAAAAAGAAAAAAAAGGCAATATTCTTCATCAATAAAAGTTTGATGATCTCAAAACAAAATATTACATAAAATGACCRTTCTGCCCGGGGCAAGGTTCTGCTTCAAGGGTTTCTGAGTGACWCTGAAAATTTTATGAGATTTAAGGGACCATGTTAATAACTCCTTGCAGAGTGCAGTTTCCAAAAGCAATCAGTCTTCCTAAGTAACACATGAAAATGTCTATTAAAGACACTATTCACATTTATTATCTTTAACTCGATAGATCCTTCAAAGAAGCTTCCTTTCCCCGGGCAGGACTGTTTAAGCCCCTCACTTTGGAATTAAACCTCCGCTACCTACAAATTTAAACTAGAGGCACAATAAAGGAAAGGAGAAGACACATTTTGAGCTTACACTTGGCATACACAGATCTCAGGCTGCACTTCATGAACTGGGATCCAACTAAGAACTCAGGCAGTGACGCAGACCCCAGAGGTGCCGGGGCCAGAAGGGGGTTTGTGCCGCGAGGAGGCTGCCACGCAAGGAGGGCTGCACGGCAGGGCTGCAGCTGCCATCGCAGAGGCGCGGACCCGAGTACGGCTGCTGCCAGGAGGCCTCGTCCCGCCTCGCGGGAGGGCTGCGCTGCCTTCCCCAGGCGCGGCCGGCAGCCCAACAGGATTAACCAGCTACATCCCGAGTCGAGCGCCGCGGCTGGGGAATTTAGCAAAAGTAGCTTTCGGCTAAGCTGATCCGGGCAGGCCTGACGCTGCGGCTCAGCGCCCGCCTGACCGCACAGCACAGCCCGCAACTCCCGCAGCCGCCGCCGCTTCCACACGCCCTTCTGGAGCCTGGCAAAACTAACGAATGGAAATAACAAAAAACAAGCCTTCCTCTCAGTATCAGTTATCTAAAAAATGAGAACAAAGGCTTAAAGACCTTAACATGGAGAAAGTACGTGGATTTTTAGAATATTGCAGGTGCTCCTGTCCCAAGAGTTAGGCCGGGACTGCCAGGGTTTTAAGCCCAGGGCCCATAGCCCTCTGAAGAGGCTGGGGTTGTCCTGCTCCCCGTGCCCGGGCGGGAAGCACTGCTCACCCGCTCCTCCCGCCCCTCCGCAAGGACCACCACGATGCGGCCCTGCCGCCTGCGCCCCGTCCGGCCCATCCGCTGCACCAGGCGGATCGGGCTCTTCTGCGCATCGAAGCAGATGATGAGGTCGACTTCTCCAATGTCTAGGCCTTCCTCCCCAACGCAGGTGGAGACCAGGGTGTTATAGCCACCTTCGCGGAAGCGCTTGACCACCTGAGTAAGGGATTAAAAAGACATCACACACGTTAGCTGGAGCGCTGTCACACACATGTAGCACCGTGCATCAGCTTCATCCAGCAGCTGAAAAACTGAACTGCATTTTAAGGTTATGAATGTGCCTCTGTTTTTCCAAGGTTATCAACTACTTCATTCAGAACTGATGACCAAAATAGAACACGTGAATTTTATCAGGACCCGATTCTTCTTTTCTTAAAGAAAAGGAGGGAAAACATTCCATATTCTGAGTTTAAAATCTATGTTCTCAAATGTACAATTAAGTACTTTTGTTTAAAAAGCTTTATTACATGAAAATATATGGACATTGCTTTTGCATTTACAAGAAAAAATGCCCTAAGCAAACAAATAATTATTTAAATAGTTTTCAACATTTTAAAATGTGTAAAATTTAGTACTTCTTACTATTCTAATTGTATAAAATACTTGCATTTATATATTTGGCTCAGTGAGCACAATCTCAGATACTCCAGTAGCCATTGCATTACCCGGGAATTCACTAGTGATATTGCAAGGTTGTGTGTGCGCTATAGATCTATATTAACTATTCAGACAATTACTTGTACAATGAACACTTTCACACAGCCCATCATCTCTTTACCTCAAGCTGCTCCTTTTGGGTGAAGCCTCTGGTGCTCTTCCCTGTGGAATGGCCCACGAAGGTCATGACTCGCACAACAGGATGGAGCCGTGAGAGCATCTCCGCGATTTCCTGCACGCTATCTCGAAACGACGAGAAGATCATTACCCTGGTATCCATCGAGTCGTTTTCAGACGTGCTTTGACCTGTTTAAATTATCAAATAAAAGTATTTTTGTATGTATTTTTAAGATAATAAATAATGCAAGGAAAGCTCATCCCCCAGGTCACAAATTCCCAGCTCTCATCCAGCTCCAGGGTCAGAAGATTTTGTCCAAACATACTCACTATAAAAACTTAAAAGAAAAATATTAAAACAAAATCTAAATAGGTCAACCCAAAGTACTAGTAGTTAATACTGACAGTCAGGAATTTCTCAGTCTGATGAGACAAACCTCTTTGTTCTCAGAAAACATTTCAAGATGCGCCTGGCCAGACAGCCTCCTCCCTGGGATCGGCAGCGTTCAGTTTTGCAGGCTTTGCACCAGCTACGCTGAGAATTTCTCCAGGCACATTAGTAACATTGCTCTGAAAAGCTCAAGTTTGTAAATAAGTGTCTTGAAGTAAAGTTTAAACCTTCTTCCAAAGAGACTCTAATGTGATTTTTAAAGTTGCTCCTTATGCGCCCYGTGGCATTAAGAGGTTATCAGTGCTCGGCAGTAACAAGTGCCACTGTCGTCGGTGTGGCGGGAACGCAGCGGGATCAGCAGTCTGGGATTTGCTACAGAGAGTCACCTCTAGTTCTACGATATAGGGTCCTTGTGAGAGCAGAGAAAGAAAAGTCCAAAAATCTCCTGTATCTACCCAATCTACCGGAATCTGTTGCATCTGAATGACCTGTCATCACCAWTTTTTGCATTATTCCTTTTCATGGCGAAAATAACCATTACCCTAAAGAAAAACAACTGTTTGACTGATTCACCCTGAAGCGGCAGATAGCAGGACATTTAAATCAGCTGAGAAAGTGAAATATTGTGTATCTCTAGCCTGCAGATGGTTTATTTGGACAGCAGTATTAGTCACAGCCACATGCTGCAAGTGGCCAAAAATGCAGCTATTTCCTTGACATCTCTTCAAATAACATTTATTTCCCGCTCAGGCATTCAACTATCAGCCAAATACCACAAGGAAAATAAAATTGCACAGAAAACCAGAACATTAACTTTAAAAGACTTTAGCAAGCCACCTTTCAATTCCTGAAGGTCCCTCTGGTTTCCATCATCAATTGCTGGCATCAGCACAGCCTCGTGTGCTACTCAGACTTGGCACCAGCAGAAATCAAACAGATTTCAGGAGATGAAGAGCTCCTGAAGAGCTTTACTACACACTTCTCCACAAAAGACCTTTACCTCATCAAAAAGGAAAGACAACTTGGACAAAGAATAAATTTTCTCAAGTCTGCCTCTATAAAAAGCTCTTTTCCTGAATACATGAAGAATAGGTACTTGACCACAGTCACATGCTATGTCTACAGCCATAGTACCAAGCTCTTTCCTGAAACTAAAGCCCATGTATGATATAAATATACACACACATATATATACACACATACACATAATATATACACACATACACGTAATATATACAACTCTCTGACCACCTACCAAAACTTCCAGTCTCMCCTTTCATTTTGCATAGGGATGCACAGAAACGCTCAAGCCATCTTCACTGCCTTGCACAGACAAGCTGTAGCTCAGCTGCACTTTCCCCGTTTCTTCCTAAGGAAACCGGGAAGTCAATGGGGGTTAGGGAAAGCGCTGCCTCTGGACAAGCCTCCATCCCGTGGCTGCCAACCAAGGAGGCTGGCTGAGACGCCCCTGAGTCCCGACAACAGCACCAGGCGGCTCTGTGATCCTAATGAGATYGCTGCAGAAAACTGCTGGTGACACTGGAGTCGCCTGCCATGCACAGCCAAGCAAGGCCTTGAAATCAGACGGCTCGTGATGCACCACCTTTAACGAGGAACCAGAGGGTTGCACGCTGCTAGGCTGCATTCCCCATAATTTGCCACGCTGAGCACACAGATAAGCCATATATTCTAGAAAAAGTGCATGTTGGATGCATTATACTTATATGAGTTCATTGTATTTTCTACCACTAACTTCATGTTAAAAAAAAAATATGGATATAAAATAATATGTATGGAATAATGATGTTGAGCTGAACATGACCTGAATAGCAACAATGTTCGGCAGCATCTGCTTTTGTGTTGTAAAAGGTTTTGTACTGCTGCCCTTTCCTCCTTGACCTTACCTGAGACCAGCCTTAGGAAATTGAAGGTCCCAGCGGCCCATAATCAATCTGAGAAGTAATCCAGGCATGGCAGATTAGCCGGGGAGCTCGTTATGCTGAGCCATCATTTCTTATCAACTGGCCAGACCACAATCCAGTGCCTACCTGAGCTGCTGCTAGGTGCATGTGGCGGCGTGGGGCGCGCGCAGCACCGAGGGGACGGCGGCACCGAGGGGGATGGTGGCACCGAGGGGACCATGGCACCGAGGGGACGGCGGCACCGAGGGGACGGCGGCACCGAGGGGACCATGGCACCGAGGGGACCATGGCACCGAGGGGGACGGCAGCTGTGACCGGTCTGGCTCACGGCGCGCTCGCTGCTCCAAACGCAGACAGAGCGCCCCGGCGCTGGCGGCTCCGCTCCTGCTTTGCCCTGGAGATGTCATGCACTCAGTGGCAGGACCCCAAACAAACACCCRGTCTATTTCCCACTGCTCACACAGTGGCCACCGGCCCATACAATGCTTGAGAGTGGAAGAGACCCCTGGGATCATCTAGTCCAGCCCCCTGCTCCAGCAGGGACACCCAGAGCACGGGGTGGCATCCGGGAGGGCTTGGAAGGTGTCCACAGAAGGAGCCTCCATCACCTCTCTGGGCAGCCTGTGTAGGTTTTTGTTCCAGAGCCTTCTGATGGAGCARAGAGAGATGCAATTAAGTGCAGAATTTTAATAAGCACTCAGGTTTTTATTGACAGGCTTGAGCCAAATCCCTGTCTGGAGGAGGGAGCAAGGAGGACACGGGTGTGTTGTGGCTCGGCCCAGGCACACAGCCGGGGTGGAGCTGCTTGCGCATGCGGGCGTTGGAGATGACTTGCAAGGACCTGGCAGTCAGGGTGGAAGTGCAGGTTTGCGGTTATTGCACAAAGATGTTATCAAAGACGCGATGACACAATGAATAACAAGCCAAATAAACAAACTTACAATGTATTTCTGTCCATTGCCCAGTACATTGGGTTTGGGGATGCAAAACTTTATGTATTATGACACCAACCACATTCCCTAGGCAATTAGGATGCCTCCAACTTCGTGATTAGACTGAATTGTGAAGTGCTTTCTTGCCTTGTATTATAGGAACAGACTTCACAATCAGTTGCTCCTCCTTTTTTCAAATTTAGCTATATGAATCTAGAGACCTGGTGTAAGGAAAATGCTTCCTATTCCTTTTAGTCCAGACAAAAGAAAAGTATGAGAGAAAGGAGAATGGAACAAAAGGCTTTTAATTTCACACTGAGGTGTGAGGGGTCATTACTCCTAGGAGGCAGCTGTGTATCAGGAACCCACCTACACGTTCCCCATCCATTTTAAATGAGGGAAGGAAGTGTATCTAATACTAAAACCATCTATCAAAGAGGAAAACTGGAATATAGGTAGTGGTGGCAAAACACACTTACTTGCTAGCATCATTAAAAAGCAATTACTTATGTGTGTGGGAGGAAGGGAATAACTTGTAACGTCACAGAGAATTTTAATTCTGTTTCCCATTCCTATATGCACACAGAAATGACAAAAATTGTATGAAATAAAGAATACCAGCAGCACAGGATTTAACCAGGTTTTCCATCTTCAAACCCAATCAGCTTAATTCTATACATCTTCATTTACTTATTTTAATATCATATTAAACAAAATGCTAGAAGAACTACATACTTTTATATAATAGATTAAAAGGAAAATCCATGCTTTGATGTCAACAAATCTAGCATAACGTAACTGCTGTAATAATCAAGACATATAAAATATGTGGAAGCATATTAAAGCCAAAGGTCAAAGTGAAACATTCAAAAGACAGTTTCTTTTATGGTCTTTTTACATTAAAATAATTTTCCTTTCAGATAAGCACAAATATCCACATATTACTGATAGTAAGAAACATTTTAGATAGCAGTCCAAATCTCTATTGAAAGTTTTAGRAGCAAAAATAGCAAAACAAAAACCTCATTCCTAGTTGGCCAAGCAGAAGCTGCCTCCTTCAAGGATTCGTACTGTATTTCTATACTGTACCACACAGTAGTTCACACTCCTTATGGGTAAGGAATGAAACTCTACCCAGTGTAGTACCTGGCAATAAATCAATTCACGTAGGTGCAACATTCAGCTGGCTGCACACACCTTATCTGCAGCAACCCGCATGCCAACGCAAGCCCCGGAGCTGCATCATCCCCACAGAGACTCTTAAGACTGAGCGAGTCTCTGCTTTGAGGAAAAGCCTTTCGTGAAGCTCCGTGCTGGGCTACTGGCACCATCCTCCCACTCACACACCGTGTGARACAGCAGCAACTGCACAGCCAGTCCAACCGGGCAGACCAAGCACCCCCTCTGCTAAGAACAGCCAAAAACTCATTTGTCTCTAATTTACTTCTTATAGGTGCTGACATCAAGACATCTCCAAGAAAAAGGTACAAGACACTCCGCAATTAAGAACTAAGGGATTTTTTTTCTCCAAAGCACTCAATTTCTCTCTTTGAAATTACAGGACAAGATTGACAATACAGGACAATTTCAGGACAATTTCTTGTCCYGAAATTACAGGACAAGAAGAAAAGGGGTTATTTGACTATTGTCATTTCTCAACACTGTAGGGATAATTGGTCTTGAAAAAAATATCTGAGAGAGTATTTTAAGACAGAAAATCTTTCTGGTTTGGTTGCAGGGATCAGGGTTATATATTAATAAATTGCTTTTAACAGTATTATCAAGAAAGCCTTTTAAGAAAGACTTAAGTAGAGCACAATTTACAATATCTGCTTTGAAGATGCCACCCAAAACAAATTCAGTGGCTATAGAAATTATCAGACATTGTAACACCAGTAAAAGTGGTTATCACTGCTGTGCTAAATGGTTAGAACAGTTTATATCAAATTCATAGTGATGACTTACAGAAAGTTATTTTTCAATAATAATAATAATTTTCTAAAGAATAGCTTTTCACATGTGGATGCCCATACATGCAAGACAATAAGGACACACTTGAATAAATAAGGTGATAAGTCAGTAGGATTGCACTCATTTTCATCCACAAGTTCTATTTTACAGGTAGGTTTTAGCACTTACCAGAACATCCTTGTTTCCAGGATTCAAAGTGCTTTACTACAATTTCCTCCAATTTCCTTAATTTTGGATGACTGTAAATGAATTCTTTTTTGTTTTCAGACACTGGAAGGACACAAAGTAATTTAGGATAAGTATACCTGCAGTATCTATAAGGGCTCAGTGAACTTCACTTTCTTACATCCTGCCTCTGAGTCAGACATAAAAATTCTCAAMACTCGTTCTAATTATATTCACCTAAACAAAAACTTCAGTGAATTACTTACAGAAAAAAAATGTAAAAGTATATCATTATTTTGCTATGATCACATTGTAAAGATACATTGTCAGTCTAATTATATTTAAGAATTAAAGAATATTTTATCTCTATATTTTAATTCAAATTAAAAGCTTCCAGTAAGCAAAGCTCATTGGAAGGTCACTAGAATGACTAAAAGAGGATAAAAAGAAAACGGAGTCTAATGAAAACTTAATTTTGAATGAAGAACATGAGCCAAGTTTCACTACGAATGTGCGGGTGCATCCACAGACCCTGGAGAAGTATCTCCTGTTTCATTCAACACYGTCTCTGCTCTAACAGAGATGGAATTGGGGAAGAAGCGCCGGAAAGTAAACTGGGAGTCTTTGAAAGGGAAGCACTGACCTGGTCTGTCCTTGTGCAGACTCCCGTTCGCTGGAGTCAGAGATGCGTCTGAAAACATGGCTCTGAGCTGCTCATACAGCTTCACGAAGTCCTCGTTGCGACCAAGTTCGTTTCTTGTACGAGTTAATCCTTTATAAAAAGTTTCCATATCTTAGTATTCAACCTCCAGAGTGTAGCTAATTTTTGCTATGCAAAAGAGAGGTTTCCCTGAAGTAATCAGCTCTTTTTGAGAGCTAAAATTTACATGTCAGCTTTAAAAAACAAATATTGTTAATATTCATTTTATATTTTTTCATATCAATATATTTTTCAGGAAAGATGACATTATAGAATGTAAACATGAAAATTATATGGATGGAAAAGCAGCCTTGGCTCTATTGAGAAACTGAGGAATTTTATGTCAGCTTACATCAAAAACCTCTACAACTACCATAAATGCTTCCAAGTACCCAACAAAAAGGCAGCCCATTGCTTAAAAAGAATGTTTCTTGAATGCTTTTATGACAATGCTGAGAAGAATTTTGTCCTAGTGGAACCAGAAACACAATTCACCAAAACCTGTACAGAGGAAATGATTCTTTCTATCAGCGACCTATCAACAGCGGATAGGAACTTAGGGAATGTGAGAAACTATGAAATACATGAAAGGCTCTTTAGTGCCTAGGGCCAAGAGCACCACAATGCGCTCAGAAACGGCAAAMTGAGCATGTGTAAGACTAATAAACTGCAAAATACCAAGGGTATAATCACACAGGTTACTAGCATATGCATCTTTATGTTGTATATTATACATTATCTTTAATATTTATTATACTCAATTATAATACACACATGTTATTACATACATAGACAACGCACAGTGTATAATATACAGCGGGTACTGTACATTCTTGCTTTAGCTGCAGGACAAGGCTCTGGCACTTTAACGGAGCTCAGCTGTGGCTGCAGTAGCTTCCACACGGCAGCACACACTGACCCAGGAAAGTGGCCCATTTGGAGACCAAAAGAGAGCAGGAAAAGAAAGTAGATGGAAATTTGTGTCATCAGAAGTGTGGCCAAGGCCACTGGCACCCGTCAAGCTGGCAGTGGCAAGCTGAGAGATCTGGAGTGACTGCAAAGAGTTGCAGAAGACTTGCAGTGTTTGGAGAAAATGACTCAACAGAGCTAGAACAGGTACAAGAGAAACAATAATGATGACCAGAAGTATGAAACATTCTCTACAAAAATATTAAAGTTAGATGGCTTCTGCCTAAAAAAAAGGTGAGACCTTCTACAATTTGGCACTCAAGAGAGTAAGAATGAGACAATCTAATTTTCAGGTGGAACAGCTCTTGGTGGAGTTTACACAGGGTCTGCACAAACATCGGTACCAATAAAGGGAGGTAAAAGAAATGAATGGCTGGAAGCAGGAGGCAGAGTCTGCCAAGGGCAGCACAAAATTATGCTGACCAAAGGTGATGTTGACTAAAGGTGACCCCCAAGAAGTGTCCTCCTGGTGAAGGGAACAGCATTTCTTCCTTGGGCCACAGGCACGTAGGCACAGTGAAGCCTCCCAGCCCATACCCGCTCCCAGGACGCAGCGGGGACACTGGAGCCGCGGCAGGAGGGCGGCTGCAGGCGCCCTGGCCGAGCGGCGCCCCTGGACGCCCACCAAGCTGGGACGGACACGCTCGGAGAATCACGAGGCCGACCACAACGGCAAGAGTAAAGCCAAGGCCTCAATAACCTCCTTGCTACTGCATGCAAACCCRGGCAGGCAGGGTGGTAAACCAGCTCTAAAAACTCCCTCTAACCCTCATGCTTTCTCATGAGGCTGGGACATGTACTTGGCACTTCACTGCCATCCGGAGTGCAGGGCTCCAGCGATCAGGAATTCTGTGTGCCTGTGAGATTCAKCAGGAATCAGAAGCGCTCCCTGTGACGCATGTGTCACACACCCCGCAGCAAGCGGCCCCGCAGACAYGGCACTGCTGCCCCTACCCCGCAGTTCAGACACATTCAAGCACTTGGGCACGATCAGTATTTAACTGGCACTGCTTCTTGTTTGCCTTCTTCATAGCGCTTCAATCTTAGCACTAAACTGCGCTGGGAGCTTAACCAAGGAATTCTGTGTCAAGCTGGAGGCTCATCACTTGTTCAATATTATGGCATAAAGCAGAACCAAGCAGTTGCAATTAGATCAAGTGTCAAACTTCTTCATGCAAACCACTCAACACGCCACAGGGCAACAGATGGGCTGGGGAACTTAATATATCCCAAATTCAATCACTTCAAATAAAACATATACTTGTCAACTGTGCAAGAACTTTGGGCCAACAAGCATCTCAGATCTCAAAGGAGACACAGACACATCCTGCAGTCACAGCAGAATTTCCTCATTTGGTTCAGAATCCAGGATGATGACTCCTACATACTGGRTTTGGGCAACCTGATAAACTGAACAACAAGGGCTACCTACCCTCAGACAAGAAACCTTTTCTGGTTTTCATCAGCTTGCTAGGACATAGATATTTGGGGGTTTTACCTTAAATGCTGTGGGATCTCAGTGCTCTTTGAGCTAGAGCACGGTGTCAGAGCCAGGCTTAGGAAGCACAGAGCAGGGCTCCTGCGGACGGGCAGCTCTCCGGAGCGGAGGCGGGAGAGCAGCCGAACTCGGGCTCGGGAAGGGGCAGCAGGGCAGCCCGTGTTGGCGCACGGTGAGCGGGCAGCTCAGCACCCTGCCCACCCTAACCTTAATGCTCGTCTTTTGGCCTTCCTCACTGGAAAGTGTGTAAATACATAGAGAAGCCTTAGGAAAACAGAAGTCTCACATGAGGAAGGGAAACTCCTGTTCCAAGCAAGCATAATGCCTTATCCTTGCTTACACTATAAAAAAAAGGAGAGGAGTTCTATATGCTTCAGGAGTAAGCGGAGAAGATGTGACAAGGTCAGTATAAAAATTCTAGAGTGACAGCTCTAAATTTGTATTTAAACAAAATACTTGGCAAAAATACTTAAAATTGTTACTATTTTTTGCTAAGAACATCAAGGAAGGAATTGCTTTAAGAGGCCACATCCTTTCTTGAATTAATTTGTTTAATTTAATTTGGTATTTTTTTTAATTTTCTCTCCTGAGATACTACTGTCACTTACTCCAAATTCTATTTGTCTTCCCCATTTTCAAAACTGCTCCCATCCTGTATAACTATTTTCAACGCTGAATGACATATTTCCAAGGGGGATGAAGGAGAATTAAAAAAAAAAACATTTATATTTGCAACCTATTCATTAAATTAAATATTTGATCAACAGTATTTATACATATGAGATAAATTAATGGGTCAAATGGGTCAAAACGAGGGATGCTTCTGAAGACTTTTCACCTTTTGATCCGTCCATAATTCCACAAAGGTAGATAAATAATGATCGTAATCCCATTTGCAGCAGCAGCTCATAACCATGATATAAACTAATACAAAGTGCAAAATCTCCTTCAATTGTGCCTTGTAGTATTCCCTGTGAACACAGAAATGACACATCAGATTAAAAAAGTCAATAAGCAGGAATCATACTATTAACTCTTATGACAAAAAATTAGATTAACATCTGAAAAATGGAACCAAAGGAAAAAAAATAATGCACAGTAAGTGTTTTGYCTAGCAAAAACTACAGGAAAGGGGTTAGGGAATCCCTAAGGATCAGTCATGGCAGTTTTCTCCTCTTATTCAATTTTTTTCCAAAATAGCTGTATTAGCTTCCAAGGTTAGCTCATTACTTTCCAGTGAAATAAACTTCCAATGAAAGCCAAAATCTGAYAGCTGAACCATCCATCAATATTTGACAAAACTAGAGATTCCGGTCATGTCTATCTAGGCCACAAAGCTTAAGTAAGGATCGTTGTCTTTCCTCTTGTGAACTATTTCCTAATATCGTTTTTAAGGTATACTGGTGATTTTTTTGTTCRGTTGCTTGCTTTTTAAGGCAATATTCTAAGTTTTTGGCTTCATGGCAGTTCAACTCAAGTTTGACCCCTCTATGGCAATTTACAGAAAAATAGGGGTAGCAATATCACTTTGAGGTCAAGGTGTAGTTTGCACAGTTAAAAAGTGCAATGCAAGTTCCTAGTGTAATTTCAGCTTGCAAATGAAGGTTTTTTGCTTTTTCTCTAAACTTTCCTATATTAGTCTCAAGAAATCTGGAACAAGTAAGTGCTTGTTATCCATAGSCTACAAAGAGAATATTATAATGGAAATGTAAGTTAAAACCTATCAAAAAACATTCAAAACTACAAAATATGACTAATTGATATGCTAAAAACACGAAAATTAATTATATTTACCGCATTTTGTGAAGAAGGGTTCTTCCTAAATTGATCCCTTGCTAGAATTATCTGATACTTGGTAAGGCTGGGAATCTCCCGCCTCGCTAAAACTCCTATTTTAATCAGGCGGCCAGCAAATGTTTCTAGCACCTGCAAACAAAACAGAAAAGCATACATGAGATGTGAAGGCAAGGCTAAAATTCCTCGAAAGGGTGGAATGTCCTTGTCTTTACTCTTGATAATAGTTCCAGCGCCAGGAACGCCGTTCGATTGGACACATCACATGTAGCTGCTCTCCACATGAGCGGAGCAAGGGAAGTGACCTGCACTAATTCACCCTAATCCTGTTTTTCCTCTTTGTTCCCTGGCCTTAGGTGGGCAGGATTTTTTTCAGGACTTAGTTTTGCCTGAGCGTTAACTCTGCAGTAATTGGACTAATCAGATTTGCACTGCGAACAGGACTAAATCTGGTGGCCCACTTGGCTAGCAGTCCCCAACGCACGCTGGTGTGCTGGAGCACCACAACACGCTCCTCCCAAGACGGCCTGGACTTATTCTCAGGGGATGTGGTGYTTGATGCCTAGTCACATGCAGCATTTCCTGGGTTTCCTAAGCCTTGTAAGGCCGGGTTGGCTGAAGCAGTGTCAGGAGGAAGGAAGGCAACAGCACAACAATGCCCTGAATGGCTCTTCCTTTTTTTTTGCTCTTCTTTCAGCTGACTGAAAACCGCGTCCAGCCAGAACAATAAGAGCAAGTCTGGCTTTGGGACTCGGAGCAAAACTTCAGCTTCTGCAGACAAAACCCCCCAGGAGGAAAAGAAAACCAATTTAAAATACAGTGTATGTTCTAGCACTAAGTAACAATACTTTAYTTATCCTCTCCACACTTTCAGAGTACTCTGGGTTACTGGAGTCTGTTCAGATGCACTGAGGTTTTCAACAACCACTGCCTGTTTGTGCTCCTCACTGCACCAGCAGTTTGGTCTCTCTRGTTTCATGCCTCCTAAATCTGGTCCTGCTTTAGTGTCCTGCTCTGGGTACAGTGCCCGCCTGGCACCGAGTGGGAAGCCCTGCGGAGGMGGGTGGGAATAACCACAGCTGCAGCTCTATTAATCCTGAAGGCACCAACACTGCGGAGAGCTTTGGAAGAGCAATCGGGAAATCGTGAGGGCAGCAGCTCAACTGGGAAAAGGAGGCCCTGGGAAATTTCCACAGATGCCACAGGTTCCGTGTACACAGATCCCTTATAAACGAGTCACCAAGCCAGGCAGATGAGAGCAGAGGGGCTGGAGGGACGCAGTGGGGATGAGTGGAACCCCTGCAGCCCCCGAGCGCTCTGCTGCACTGCGGGCTGCTCCGGCCGAGTGCTCAGCACCRCTCCGACGGGGCACGGCAAGGAGGGCACGAGGGCTGGCACCCCAGAGCCCGCGGGCACTGACAGCCCGGGCCAAGCACAGACCCACACCCCGCAGCTGCTCCCGGCACACACGGCGCGTTCATGTTCACACTGCGCTCCCCAGGGCGCCCACGGGGCCCACGCCACGTCCGGCTCCTCCGCCCGGCCAGCACCCGCTGGAGCCCACACCGTCGCCAAGAGGTGCCAGAGGAAGGGGAAAACCCAGGGCTTATTTGAAAACGCAGTCAAAAACATTTGCTAAGAAAACAGCSTGAAGGTTTAACACTCAAAATTTTGTCTTTTACAATTAGCTTGCTCTGTTTCTTTTAAATCTGGCTGTCAGTGTAAAAACTTACTGTTCTTTCTTTAATGGGATACCATTAAAATTGCATTTTGCCCTCTCCTCCAGCAGTTCAGCAATGAGGATACTTGAGCTACCGCAAATCAAGCTTAAACTATAGAAACAGAATCAGTCTCTGAATTCAAAATTGTTTCCTAAAAAAGGAATGAGTTTTTGCATTAAGAAGTAATGCCCACAACAGCACGATACTGTAGCACGGGTGTACTATGCCTCACACTGCTTGCMTAGCTCTTTCCTAAAATTTTCCATTACACCTATTTTTATGTTTTATCTCTTGACCTGGTTTGTTACATTTAAGAAAATTATATTGCCACTGTGTGCTCAATGTACAACCCCTGTCTGATTTAATCATCTTCCACAAAACAAACCCAGGAAGACTATTATGAAAGACAGCGGGTTCCAGGCACCTGTAGCTTCAAAACTAATCAGGAACAGTAAACATAACCTACTTAGAGGAGGCAGAGAAACAAGCACTACTCAGAGTGATTGCATTTCTCTTGTTTCTATACCTTTATTTTAATTAAAAAGATAATACTTCTGGAAAGTCTCTTCGATCTTTCTAGAATATTTAAGTGTTATGTTACTCATTTGAAAACAGAACTGTAGCATTCATTTATATGAATGTCTTGCTAGCACTAATGGCTTTTTTTTTTTAAATACCTCAGAATTAGCTGGCAAAGCTGACCTATGCACTCCCAGTGTACAAAGGGGACCTGTACAGCTACCCCACACTACACTACACCTGCCAGGACCCCAGAGGCTGGACAAAGTGCCTGCCACTTCACGCTGCCTTTCTGCAGCGTGTACTCGAGACTACCCCAAAACCYGCAGCTCGGCCCCCAGCACCAGCTGGGAACAGCAGCGCGGGGCATATCCAGAAACAACAGGGCCAAGAGCTGTTTACTGYGCACTGACAGGCTTTGTTTGCTCTTAGCACAGATGAAAAATGAAGGCTCGAAATCTATTCCCTGGAGACCAGCTGGAAACAAAAGATCTGCCCTCCTTGCTTTACTGCAGATTCGCCATCTTTCTTTGCCAAAGAAAAACAAAGAGAAAAGAAAAAAAGAAAAAAAGCAGCAAAGAAAACAACAACTTGCTCGCCTGCATGTAAATAACCCGGTTTGTAGGGCCCCATCTTCCCACGTAGCCCCAGGAAGCCCCAGGAAGCCCCAGGCCGGGGCCTCTCCGCAGCCCTGGGAGCTGCAGCGCGGAGCGCCCCATTTCAGCCGGTGCCCAAGAGCCCCCAGGCCAGGCCGGGCCGGCCCGTGGCGCCGCGGCCGCCCCGCGCAGGCCGGCTCCGGGTTGAACGAGGAGCTGCAGAGGGCACAAGAGCAACGGGCACAGGGCAGCGCATGAACAGCTAGAACATTCGCTTCTTCCTTTAGGAACAAAACTAGCAAGGTTCGGGCTTTGCAAGGGGAGGTTTGCAAGCCCAGCAGCTAAGGCTCCTGAGCACAAGCCCAAGACGCTCCGCTGGGAACAACGGGGCTGACGGAGCACGTGGAAACCCCGGGCACCGCAGTTCAAGCTCCGGGTCACCTTGCGCCGCTCCCCAGGCTCGTGGTCCAGAGCGTGCGTGGGTCGGCCACACGTTTCATCAAGCTTCTTCAGCCAYGAGAAGGAAAGACAACGAGCCTTTGGACATGAAGCAAGTTGGTTTATGACAGAGAAGACCACTGAGAAAACASGACGAGAGCTACCAATAGTGATCAATTTTGGTTATTCTCCTTGTATAATCTCAGAATTGAGACAGAAGATGTGCAAGTACGAGAGAGAACAGTGCTATATTATGTAAGCTCTGACCTCACACTTGTCTTTCCAAAAAAGAAAAAACAGCAAGAGACACACAGAAGGATGCAGTTTTGTGCTTTTTGTTGCTAGTGTTGTTTTTAAAAATTTCTTCTTCTTTCTTCCAAACTAACAGTGATCAACCGAACAGAGATCCCAGCTCCTCTGCCAGTTTCACTGTGAGGATCACATTAACTCATTCAGTCTCTGTACTCTCCAAAAACCTATCACACACATTTAAAACACCCTGTTCTTCCCTGAAAGCCAAGGTTGTTGACCAAAACTCACAACATTTCATCCTTCTCAACATTTTGTTTTTCTCTTGCTATAGCATTTTTCACTTAAAAGTTAGAACGACGTTCCACAGTTTTCACTTTTTAATTAATTTGGCTAGAAGTGTTTTTACTTCATGTTACAAACAGCGATAAAACAAAAAAACCCATCATTTTCAACTGTAATTAGTAACAGCCAACTACTCTATCAGTCCAAGTTAATAGCAGTGCTTAGACACAGACCATAATACAACTTCTGTACTATATCAAGGTTAGCTCTTTTTGTTTAATTTTAGCATACAACAACATAAAACCAAATCACAACACAAAGAAGTCATCTGTTCTAATGGGTCAATCCAGCATCATCTTAAGGTTTTAAGGATTATGGGACACTTCTCACCTGCTGGCAAATTAGGCTGTGATTACAGACAAACTTGCTGCTTTCCTCACCTCCAGCAAGCATGTTCAGCAACCCTCCAAAAAGAAACGGTTCAACCTTGGCACCTTTTTATTCCAACACTCCCTAGAGGATAAAAGAGTGGGTGCCGGAGTCACGGATGCAGGAGGGCAGGGGGAGCCTCCTCATGACCCTCGTGCAGAGCAAGGGCAACGGCCTCCTGCAAGACGCCAGGTTCCCTCACATGGCACTGGTAACACAGCTTCAGGGATTGCATACAAAGCCTCTGTCCACATGAACAAGGGCAGTGTAAACTCCCTAACTTCAGTTATTACGTGTGATTTGGACCGATGCACGTTGTGACTTAATTGAAGACATCAACCCAGAGCAACATAGCTGTGCTCTAACAGAGTTTAACAGCATCTTCAAGATGCCGTGAGGACGATGCTTTAAAATGATGTAAAGAACAGCAACTGCCCCAAAATATAGCCCACTTCTGCACATTTCAGTGAATTTTGTGGTTTTACACACCAAGTAGTTGACCATGAAATTRGCACATAAGGCAGCATCATTTCCAAGCACTTGTCAAGGATTTGCCTTCCCTGTGGACGTTCAGATCCAGCAGCCTGCGATGTTGACACTGKCCTCAGACATGAGGTCGGGTGGCCTCCATGCAGAACCATCTGACTCAATTACTTCAGCTAATGAAGTAGAAGAAAAGCTCCACTTTTTCCCCCAAACAAAACAAAATTAGTAGTAACAATAATAATAAGCAATATTCAGTCAGGAAGATAAGAAGGGTGCTCTCAGGGCATTCCTGCTGGTAGCAGTGCCTGCATTTCCAAGTTCTCAGAGAAGCAATGCTCTTGTGCTGCCCATCCTGATTGGGAGCAAGAACAGGCACTTCCTGGGAACAGCGGCATTTCAGCCAGAACTGGGGCGCTCTCCTTTCTAAAGCAGGGACCACTTCCCTGTCACTTCCCYGGTGGCAGGCAACAGACACTGAGACAGGAACCATGGGCAGAAAAAGGAGGGGGGATATTTAGTATCCCAGCGCAGGAAGCCAACAGCTGCTCTCTAGACTTTGGTCTCTAAACCAGATTTTCCTGCTGAGGATTCCAAGCCCTGGCAGCTTCCTCACTCTGCCCAAGAACGGCATATCGAGCACCTCCTTTCTGCTGAGCCACGATCCGGGCAGCCAGTGTGGGACCCCTGAGAGCAGCCCCGCCTGCCCCAGTGCAGGGTGCAGGTCTTTCCCGCCTGCCCAGGCCATGGGAGACCCCTGAGAGCAGCCCTGCCTGCCCCAGTGCAGGGTGCAGGTCTTTCCCGCCTGCCCAGGCCATGGGAGACCCCTGAGAGCAGCCCCGCCTGCCCCAGTGCAGGGTGCAGGTCTTTCCCACCTGCCCAGGCCAGCGCTGCTTGCAGGGCTCTCCGCCCGCTGCCACAGCCGGCCCCGAGCAGCACAACCCCCTTTCGAAGCCGAAGCGCCGCGGGCTCTGGCAGCCCCGGCCCTCAGCCCGGCGGGTGCTGCGGGGCCGGCAGGAAGCAGGGGCTGGCGA